GGGATTGGAATGAAAACTGACCTTTTCCAGTCCTGTGGCCACTGCTGAGTTTTCCAAATTTGCTGGCATATTGAGTGCAGCACTTTCACAGCATCATCTTTTAGGATTTGAAATTGCTCAACTGGAATTCCATCGCCTCCATTAGCTTTGTTTATAGTGATGCTTCATAAGGCCCACTTGACTTCGCACTCCAGGATTTCTGGCTCTAGGTGAGTGATCACACCATTGTAATTATCTAGGTCATGAAGATCTTTTTTGTATAGTTCTTCTCTGTATTCTTGCCACCTCTTCTTAATATCTTCTGCTTCTGTTAGGTCCATACCATTTCTGTCCTTTATTGAGCCCATCTTTGCATGAAATGTTCCCTTGTTATCTCTAATTTTCTTGAAGAGATCTCTAGTCTTTCCCATTCTATTGCTTTCCTCTATTTCTTTGCATTGATCACTGAGGAAGGCTTTCTTATCTCTCCTTGCTATTCATTGGAACTCTGCATTCAAATGGGTATATCTTTCCTTTTCTCCTTTGCCTTTCACTTCTCTTCTTTTCTCAGCTATTTATAAGGCCTCTTCAGACAAACATTTTGCCTTTTTGCATTTATTTTTCTTGGGGATGATCTTGATCACTGCCTTCTGTACAATGTCATGAACTCCATCCATAGTTCTTCAGGCACTCTGTCTATCAGATCTAATCCCTTGAATTTATTTCTCACTTCCATTGTATAATGGTAAGGGATTTGATTCAGGTCAAACCTGAATGGTCTAGTGGTTTTCCCTTTTGATTGTGCATGCACAGGACCTTTTGAAGGAGGTTACCATTATCTTCATTACCTCCACCTTGGCCTCAGGTCAAACAACAGGAAGGGAACACAGCCCCGCCCATCGACAGAAAATTCGATTAAAGGTTTACTGAGCATGGCCTCTCCCATCAGAACAAAACCCAGTTTCCCTCTTAGTCAGTGTCTCCCACCAGGAACCTTCTATAAGCCTCATCATTACCCATCAGAGGGCAAACAGACTGAAAACCACAATCACAGAAAACTAACCGATCTGATTGCATAGACCACAGCCTTGTCTAACCCAAGACGGGAAGAGGCTATAACAGACAGCCGTGTCGCATCATAGCCTCAAGATCCTCTAGGGCCTCCAGTGCCTGGGGCAGTGGGGTGAGCGCTGAACCAGGAGTTGCCTGGCCATGTCCATCCCTCTGCCAGTTAGATCTGGGTGGGGTTGAGAAAGGAATTGGAAGTTATAGTCAGATCACCGCCGCTCACTCCAACCAAGAGCTCAATTTGGGGTTAGCAAAATCTCAGGTTTTCCTCATTCATTCCCATTGGAGTCCTCCACTTTCAACCAGCAAAAACACAGCTTCACACACACCCTCACACGCACTTGGACACCAAATGGAGTCTGCCCTTCCTGGAAGAAAATTGCCCATTTCAAGGCTGGCCCCGCACTTTGAAAAGCACAGGTCTGGCCAGTCTGGCTGGCAGAAGGACCTGGCAGGGGCCCCGGGCCAGGAGGCCACAGTCTCCTGCTGTGCTCCCCGAAAACTCCAGCAGGTTTTCAAGAATAAAAGCTTTTCAATTTGTTGTGTGCTTATGGTCAATTTACAGTGCTTTGAAATGGTTGTTCTGGACAATTTTTCCAGTTTTATGCTCATTTCATAGAAAGGAGCCACCAGTGCCCACGCCACTGTTTCCAGAAGTCTCTCCCTCCGGCTTCTCTCAGAATGCTCCCACGAAGACTCGGGAACTGCCAGCACTGGGGCTCCCAGTCTCCCCCATATGCCTTTGCATCTGCCCAGATCTGCCCCCAAAACTTCTCCAAAGAGGTCCCTGCCCTTCAGAACCTGCTGGGAACTCCTTCTCGTCCCATATTTCCCAGCCCTGCCATGGGGTAGGCAGGACTTTGTCACTTGAATTCCTTCCGTCTTATGCATGTTATCCAACCTTAGAAAACCTACAAGTCTGGCTGCTAAGCTTCAGCTTTGACTGTCACTCTGTGTTTTTCACTGCAGTTAATGAACCTAACTGCCCCCAAATACTCTGCCTTTCAGACTATCGGAGCCAACATTCCCAACTGGATATCGATTTACCATTGCATTTATATGAAAGAACAAGAAAGAGCTTTGTGTGTGTTTTTAGCTACTCAAGCCTCATTCCTTTTGGCTGAGAGCTTCTCCTTGGACCATTTCAGAGAGAGAACCAGAGGGATTTAGCCTGCTGATCCTTTTTATTTTTATTATATTATCTCTGTATTAGCATTTTCTGAATGCTCAGAAAATAAGGGAAAACATCAACAACCCCTTCCCCCAGTGGCAATGGACATGAAAGTCATCTAGCAAAGTGATAGAGTTATTGCAAACTG